ATCCACTCGAAATGTACATCGTTCCGACACTTTTACCGGGCCGTTCCTTCTTCAAAAATGTCTACAGAATCCGATCCTGGGTAGAGTTTTCGTGCTGAACAAAAAACTTTTCGTAAAAATACAAAAATATTGCGCAGAAACTGCTCACGTCGACACTTTTTTAAACTTTCACATTAATTTATTGCTATTTAGGATCAAAAACAATTAATAAATTGCATGCCACTATATTCGGGAAACTCTCCTCTATCTTTTAACACCAATTAGAACCTTCTAACGTTTATACTTTTCATGCAATACCTCATTTTTGTCGAAAATTTTGGGTTTGTACAAAAGTTCGTTTATTTAAAAAACTGAGGGTGATGGAGCAATTCGGTTTTCGGATTCTTGTTCAGGAAGTGAAGCTCTACAAGAATTTCATAGTGGCTATAGAAACCCAGAAAAAAAGTTTGATTTTGTCGGATAGTGTTATTTGTAATGAAAAGGTATACCGAAATCAAAATGAATTTTGGTTCCGGGACCGAATACCATCCCTAATTTTGACGAGATGTCCTTATCAGTGTTAATGTACAAGAAGTTTTCATCGCTATTCACTCGAATACCTGTAAAACATTGAATAAAAAGAGCGTTTTAGCAAAAATGCAGACACTCGATATTTATTTTTAATATTTAGTTTATTATTTTTTTCATATTCATTTTTTCACGTTTTCTTTACGTCACATGCTACTGGTAATAATTTCTCACAACAATATTTAAAATTAATTATTAAATTTATTATCCCTCGTTTCTTAAGATCGTCAATATTTTTGGATCTGATTCATATTTTCACAACTTAATCACAAGTTTTATGTCAGCTGTGGCAAATTGCGTAGATTTAAAAATAAAAATGTTTTTAATACTTATATTACACTATTGTTCTTAATACTCATTTCAATTCGAGATTATCACAGAAAACTGACATTCTGCGAAAATGAAAGATATGTACCTTGAAAAACACGACGATATGCACGAACTTGAGAGAAAAAAGTAAACATTACATGCACATTTCGGAACTTCCATTTTTTTCCAAATGTGGTATGTCCTAGCCGAATTCAATCATTGTTTATCACGTTTGAACGGACTATGCCCATTTTACCCGAGATGATAGATCAAAACCAGTAGTATTATACTACTACAAACACTAGAACCTGAGCTTGATGGATTGCTATTATTAATCTTTCCTACCAGCAGCATAAGTGTTTTACATACTTTCACGTCTTCGACGTTTCAAGTCAAACATCTTCCAGACGATGGCACTCTGGTTTCAACAACCTTTGGTCTTCGAGTGATGCGACAAGGATTCCCCATCACCACATTGTCCTGCATCTTCCAGAGTATCTTCGAGCACGACGACTTTCGAGGTCAAGATGCTTATTTTTTTCTTTCAAGATTATTGATAACCGCGAACGCAACGCAATTGGAAAGCATCCAGAAAGTGTAACGGAATTTTGGCAGATCGAGAGACCCGAGGGCATGTGTGAGCCCATGCCAGTTATTCGTCAAGACTGTCGCCAAAGCGAAAATATTTCCTTAGTGTAGCAATTTATAACGCGCGTGTTGCCGCATACAATAAGAGGATTGAACCAGAAACGTTGTATTCATTTTAGACAACATTCCTATAAACAATAGAAGCCGATACACAGAATTTCTAAACTTGCGAACGACAAATGGTGAAAAACGTTTTCTCATTTAGTAAATTTCGCGACACCCCAAAGTGGTCTGAAAAGCGGTAATTTGTGACAAAAATTCAATTCTTCGATTTCCATATTTGCACAAAATTTCGAGATCTGGAATATTAATAACCTCATATATCTCCGTGATTAGATACAGCGATATAAAGGCAAAAGTGCGAAATTAAGAACAAAACTAATTATTTCAATTGCTCGTTACAAATATCGAAATGCAAGTTCTTGGTTATACCGTTATGCACGCAAACACTGATATTTCAACTTTTTATGTGTGCCAAAAGTATTTTTAGCCTATTTAGAAGGAACGTTAAGTTTTTAACGATTCAAACTTTAAAGAGGCTTACAAAAGAATGTTTAAAAATATTTAATGTAGCAACGTTATTTTATGTTTTTGACTGGCATTTAATTTTGAAACAAACCACGGTTTTTTTTAATATTTCCAATGACCTGGAATAGAAATGTTTCGAGCAAAAGTTGGTCGGTATTCACTTTTCTACATATTAGAATATAAGAATTCGCAAAAAAATATGTTTGTAAAAAAATGCTGGTCATCTCGATTTTTGAAACGTGAATACATATTTTTGACTCGATAATATTCAAGCTCACTCTACGATTCAGTATACTATAACCTTAAATCTTGAAACAATGCTAAAATAATTTAAGCCACAAAAAGCAAATTCTCAGACCACTGTGCACCCCAAAATTTAATGTCAACTAACATCTCATGAACGACTGGCGAATACGTAATATATTTTAATTGACTAGAGTGTCTGATTACATATTTTGTATTGCTTGTTTGGCGAATAAATTACACGTGTACTGGAATAGTCAGTCAAGCAATTTCAACAAAAATAATCTGAGGAATCTAATATTTTAAATATTGAATCTATTCTTATTTTTTATGTGCCATTTGCAAATTACATTGCCAATTGTTACAATATTATTTATACAAATGGAACAAAAACTGTTAAAAGAAAATAATTCGCAGTTTTCTAACAGATTTTTTACTTATTAAAAGTCTCTCCGATCCACCACTGTGCAATTGAAATCGTAAAGTAATTATTAAAAAATCACATAATCGATTTCATTGCGTTGCGATCTCAAGAGCGAGAATTATCTTCGAGTTGTTGAATTATACAATTAAATAGTTGACGTTTGCTCCTGCTCCTTGACGTTTCTCTAACTCGAACGAACAAATAAGTGGAGTTCGTTGAAAAACGTTCCATTACTATTTCATCGCGATAAAAGTTTCAGTTGAATCGCGGTCCGAGCTGTTGATAAAAACTGTTAGAATGAATCGATACAAAGATTTCAAAAATTGTTCATCTTCAAGGTGGTATCAAATTCAGTATGAAAGAAATGATGTTGCCCAGATCGTTACCCCAAAGAACGATTTTCGGGTGATAAAGTACTGAAGCAACGAAACGAAATATTTCAATTATTTCGCAGAGTTCAAGTAGACCTATGAAACAATTATATTACCGTTATCGCGTTAACATTTCTGTATTCGTTTGGCTACCGCAATATAAACATTCTTTGGTTAATAGATATACCTGCAGGTTATATGAAGCATCGAAAAATAGATTGGAAATATGTACTGTTTTACGTATTATTCCAGACGATTTTTATCGGTATTCAAATCTTAATACAAACTGCAGGTCAATTAGCCGATCAGTTTAGGTTAAAAAATGACGAGCTGCGGTATCTATTAGTAGGAATATCAAAATATTGTACTTCACCTTGAAAAATACGTCTCACAGCCTCTTCCAGATTGCCATTTACGTCTTTCAAGATGACGTACATGTATGGCAGCATATCCCAAGGACACTGGAAAAGATCGAGGAGCTTGGTAGCGTACAATAGTAGAAGTTCCGCACTGCCACCTGCAACACAATAAACACGAAATATTTAATCAAATTCGAATATCATTGAAGGGTTCTATTCGATTATCATTTTGCGTGATCGTCAGATAAAGTAAGATGAGTGCTTAAATATGTCCTTTGGAGACTATTCTTGAACCAATTTGATTTTTCATTCTGCCAGCTTGACACGTTATAACTGCATAATACTTCTTCGAAAAAGTTATCAAAATCCAATTAGAACGCAAACATTGTCAAGATCTGTTAATATAGTATCGATTAATATCAATATAAGATCATCGCTAATATGTACAGTTGTATTTCGAATACACGTAAAAAGCAGATAATTTCATTTTCAGATTAGTGTTCTGAGCCACGTTTAGAAATCTACTGTCGACATCAAAAGATTTATGAATTTATTTATGACACCATGAATACCATATTGTAACAAATATACATTGAAATCTATTTTCAAGCAATTATACACGCAAAGATTGATCGACCGGTCGATTGATTAATTTATGGAAAATACAAATATGGAAAAGGTAGCAATAATAACGGCACCGATTTCGTATTATTTTCAGTGATATATCTGTTCTGCCATTTATAACTGAATTGAACTTTCACGTAACTTTCTAACACCTGCTACATGTAATTTATGGCGGATGTTGAATTGAGAGCAGCCGGTAAAGGAAACAGCATTTCTCTGGGTTTGTATTATTCGCGAACATCGCGTGTATGTTCAACGAACGTGTACATTACAACCATTGTTCCAAGTATTTCATAAAGTTTCAAGCAATTTGCTCTTATACGGCAGTTTTTCGTACAATGGGATTAAATTCTTTTGTTCTACTTGCCGAATAAATCGGCAAATAGGGATGACCATAATCGAAGCCCTGGACGCACGGTTCTCATGACAATGAGATCGTATAAGATTCGTTATTAAGAATATTTGTCAATTGTAATTAATGTAGCGTAGAAATACTTTTTTTCGTATAAGAACATATCGAGAAAGTTGTATTTAAATACATCAGAATCGACAAATTTTCTCTACGACCGAGTTCAATTACTACATAGTTAACATATTCAACATTAACAATGTCAAAAACAAAATTTATAATATAGTTTAACATTTCCCTTAATTTCCGCAATGAATAAAAAAGTGACGAAAAAGAAATTTAGATATTAAAAACGTCTCTTTCCCTTTGATCATTGTTTAAATACAAGAAAAATATACCGTTGTGTTTCGGATTTCATTACAAAGTAACATTCATTTCTTAAGAACAAGAAGTTCCGCTTGAGCCGACCATAAAAAAAAATAAGTTTCTATGAAAAACTTATCGCAATATATTAAATTTGAGCGTAACTGCATCATTTCTTGGTCAGTTGTTGTACTTGTTCAAAATCGGAGCTTCTAGCCTCGGTCTCCCCTAATCCTACATGTTCGAATGTATTTCAACGTCGACGACACGATGCAATGAAAAAAAGATGACTTATACTTTAAATGAACGTCGATAAGCTTGAAAAATCGAATCGGAATCCGCCCGGAGTCGGTCTGCATAAATGATCCTCAACTTATAGACTTAACAAACTATAGAATTAACTAGACGATAATACAGTGATCGCTTCTTGCGGCTATAATATAGTAATCACTTCTCTACAAAGAACCGTCCGCGGGGAGATACCTTCCAGTTCGGACAGTGTCCGACAGTGAGCCCTGTAGGCTTGGCTGACCGCGGTTTCTGAATCGATAGAAAATAATCGATGCTAATTGTTATTATTGGTGCACACCTCTGCGTGGAGGGTTGATGGTGGTTGGTTGATTCATGGCCCGACGAGGACAACTCGTGGTGGTGTTTCACGACTGAACCGCGTGCGCGTACAGGGACAATAATTTCGCAGCGGTGCGACATGATATATTGAACATTAATGCAGCCAATAGTAGCGCGTCCGCTCGGTGCAGCTCCGCCTATAAGAGAAATTCTGGATGGTTTTTAAAAGGCGGAAATAACTTTCCCCTTCCTTCTCCATTGTACAGTTCGCACATTACCGTGTTGCTCCGCTCGTTCTCGGTCGCTCTCGCGCCTTGCCAGCGCGGCTCGTCGATAGAGAGAGGGAGAGAGAGAGGGCGGGAGAAAGAGTCTCCCTCTTCCGTAGCCACCCCTCTTCCATTCTATCGAATAGACAACACGACGCAGAGAGCAGGTGCCGTCGTGGTGCCGCCGGGACGCCCGGCGTTGGTTCCCTCCTTTTCCATGGCAGGTGAACCCGGCCAACCACGTGCTTCGCTTGGTACATGCGCGTATGCCTGTTCTCTCTCTAGCAACCGCGTGCATCGCCGTGGTGTCCATGAAGGAGAGTGGAAAAGAACCGTTCGAAACGAGAGAGACAGAGACAACGAGAGTGCCCGAACAACGGAGTGGGAGAGAACAAAATTCAACTGGAGAGGATAGAGAGAACGGAGCAAGGTGGAGGGGGACTGGCTGCCGAGGGAGGTCTACTCCAGGGGCTTGGAGAAGGAAAGACGAAGAGGACTCGACCTAGGTCGCTCCTTTCGATGCCATCCTGTCCTCTCCGGTCGTTGACGGTTCCGTTCACCGAGAGAGACAGAGGCAGAGAGAGAGAGAGAGAGAGAGAGAGAGAGAAATCCTTTTTTTGTCTCCTCTCTTTCAGAACGATCTCCCTCTACCAACCGGTTGATCTCTCCTCCTCTCTCTTTCTCTCTCTTTCTCTCTCTCTCTCTCTCTCTCTCTCTCTCTCTCTCTCTTCCTTCGGCCGCACTCTTTCTCTCTTTAGCGTGCATGCATCTCTGTTGTTATATGTCTGGTATTCTTTCTTCCTCGCGATCTTCGGCGAACCTTTCACCGTTCGTCGCCATTTTGTCCGTGACGTCAATGACGCGCGGTCTCTGTGCGGCGAAGACAACGGAGAGCCGACCGCACGAAAGTCGAATCGCGCAAATTTTTCAAGTAGGTATTTGGCCCCCGGTTACCCAAAACACCGAGATCACCGGTAATTGCGGTCTAACGACCCGCATATTCCAACTGATTTTGTTAACGATGCTTCCCGCGGGATGGAAATTGCATTTCGGGAACGATTCCGCTGATATCTTGAGCCTCCTGCTGCAAGATTATCTGTCTCTAGGACACTCTATTTGGACCAGTAACCGATCAGGGATGTACATGTTTAGTCGGCGAAGGGAACGTGTTAAGCCTTTGTCCTGCAACTCCAAACTTGTCACAGCAACGTGTAACAGCGATGTTATCGCTTCACATTGGGACCTCCGAATCAGAGTGCAAGGTGGAGGGGTGAAAATTGTTGCAAGTTTTAACCCCGCTCTCCTTTGCACCGTTATACAAGCTTCCCCAAAATTGCCAGAATTGATCAGAACTTCTGTCATCAGAAATCGCTAACCAAAGGCTTTGACGCGTAACAAAACAACGAGAACATTTGAACGATGTAATAAAAGATATCAGTTTACGCTTAAAAATCCGCGGTTCAGTTATTGTCGTTACCAAATCCAAGATACAACATAACCATCGCGATCTGGTTGTTCGAATTCCGTACCGCGAAATCTTCATGAAGTTACGACCGGAGGTTTTACGAGGAGTGATAAATAAAGCTTGTATCTAGAACTGTAAGTGGTTTTATTCATTTCGACCCGGAACCAGGATTCTTTTATTCAGCCCGTGGGTGGGCCGCCGAGAACCCAGACATTGATTTACTGTGTTTCCTTCAACAATTTCATATTATTTTCCAAGGATATCGTAAAACTGCTCTTAACATTCATTCTTTGAACACCGTTTCATTGATTTATGGTTTCGAATAAGAAAGAACGAGCTGGTAGAAGAGTCCTCGGAATTTGTTGTAAAGCAATTTGTAATATTTATTCTTCTCTTGTTGATGTTTTATAGACTCAAATACTTTAGGTGTTATAGATGTTATTGAGAAATTTGTTGACGAAGCATTCCTGCACAGAGCAAGATGTAGAGCAAGATGTATAACAAGATGCAATAGAATTCTGTAAATAATGAGACACATTTCTTTTATTATGTTTCAGTTACGAGCATGCACGTTGAAGTTTCGGATACACCTGTCACATTAACGCGGTGATAACGTCGCGTCGTATCGTTTAGTCACGAAGACTACGATCCTACATCTCCTATACAAGACAAGTAATAATAATTTTATGCAACTGATGTTAACTGCAGCGTCGCTTACAAGTGTAACGGTTTGTTCACATTTAGAATATGATTTCTATGCTGGCACGTTCCCTACATTCAATTTAATAACCGTATGCAAGCTGCAAGATGTTCGCTGAATAATTTTCAACTTCTGCTTTTATTAATCATTTTCTTAGATCGTGATGGCTCTTTTAAGATGCAGATCTTCTAAATTGAGTGGAGCTCAACGGTCTAAAAATTTGTTACTTTTTGTTACATTTTTCGATATTTTATCGATAACAAATTTAATGTCAATCGTCTTTATTCATCTGCTATTTTTATACCTAATTAAATATGTCATCTACGAAGACCACATCTGTGTATCACATAACTCAGCTGACATTCTTTTTTATATTATAACTCAAACGTTCTCGTGGCTGTCTATCAACTGACATTAGTTTGTCGTCAATTTTTCAACAGGTATATGCTACTATGCTGATATTCTTAGCACAATGTGTGAGCGAGTATTATTTTGTAACTCTCGTAAGAAACTTCGATCTTCAAGTGCAGATGCGAGAATAATTAACAATTCACGCGAAGGAAATCAAAGCTTTCCAGACACAGTCGAAAATTGATATAACATTATTTTTAAAAAAAACTATATCTAGTTTTGATACAAATATACATCAAGAAGCAAAGTTTACCATAAAATCTTCGCAGATCCTTCGCTCACAAAAACTTTCCTACAACGCGTTTTAACTCCCCCGATAATATAGAACTTCCGTGAATAAATTTTTTATGCCTAACTCTAAAAGTAATTAATAAAATGAAGGCAATTAAATCCACTTAATCACCGTTTAT